ACCAGACTTGAATTTTTTCCTTCAGTTTGAGGAATGGTGAATATATTTTCCCATCGTGGTTTTCTATGCCAGGTCTTTGCACAATTCATATTTTAGTTTGCTTCTCAAGCTGCCCTTTGAAATCTTCAGTTCTTGTATTTCATTATTTTTCACAATTGCTTTAGCTTCTCTACATTTGAGAGCAAGCTTGAAAGCCTCTCAGAAAATCAATTTTGGCTTGAATGACTTTGCTTTTTTCATGTATGATGTTTTGGATATCATCTCTCAACTTGTCTGGTCTTTGATGTTCAATACATCGAGTGTGTTTTTCAAATGGTGTGCAAGTTCTGGTGGACTATACTCTAGGTCCTATTTTGTCTATCATGAACTTGTCTCTATTTTCTTTAACTTGAGCTTGATGTGCATGTGAGGATTTGACGATAGTTCACACAGTTTGTCCTTGCCGTTGTTCTGGCAAGAGCCCTGGTTATGCATTGGGCTACAATCTGAATGGTCAGCAGTTTGAAACTACCAGCAGCAGCTCCTCTGGAGAAGACTGGCCGTTTTACTCTCATAAACAGTTACAGGCTCTGAAACCCACAGTGGTTGCTATGAGTCAGCATTAACTCAGTGGTGGTGAGTTTGGTTTTTGGTTTGTCCTGGCTTGTGGTCCTGAGCTGACTTACTACTTTTCCCCAGATGTTGTATATTTGATTCTTGGCATTTCATCTTGTGAAGTTCGTGCCCATATTTACGTTGTTGAGCAGTGGCATTTTTAATGAATAAGTCATTGGTCTTGCAAAAAATCTCTCATGTAATCTCCAGCTTTGTTTCTATCACTAAGATCATACTTTCTAACTAATGATCCTTCCTCTTTGTTTCAACTTTTGCATCACAACAGCCACTAATTATCAGTGGATCTTAATCCCATGTTTGATCAATTTCAGACTGCAGTCTTCAAGTTCATAATTTTTGGCTTTCGTGATTGATGCTTAATTTTGAATAGGAGTCTTATTAACTGGTCTTCCCTATAGACTGATGTATATTACCCAAGCACCGACAGTGTTGTACTGCAGGATAGATCATGAAATGTTCTTTTCTTTTTAATGATGAGTGCTGCACCATTCCTCTTCAATTCGTCATGCCTAGCATAGTACGATTTCCCCCTTGATCGTGAGCACCAACTGTGAGTTCTGTGTGGCCATTGCAACAAATTGTCAAACCCAGAATAGACATAGAGTGCTGTGGGAGGAACAGTTGGTGTCAGAATAGGGTAGATAAAGGTGGAGAGTGCAAGCATGACAGACCTGTGCCTCCTGACAATGGGAAGCCAGAGGAGGTCACATACTGCCATCGCCATGCCATTTACTGTAGACGGGCCTGGTGAAATACTCAGCACAGTCCCCGGGATTTGAGTACCTGTTAAGTGTTGGCTGTTACTAGTATGTGAGCTCATGAGCCCTGGCGCCATAGTGTGTTACACCTTGGGCAGCTGCTTATGGTTTGAAACCCCAAGCTGCTCCAACAGAGAAAGTCTAGGATTTCTATCCCCTGGAGAACTCACAGGGGCAGTTCTACTCTGTCCTGTAGGGTCACTCCGAGTTGGAATTGACTCGATGGCAGTGAGTTGAGTGGTGTATGAGCTCAGGAGAGAGGATGGTTGTCTGTTGTGTGACTGCTGGTTGCCAGGGTCCTGGCATTCAGGACAGGCTCTGTAAATAGTTACTGCATGAACTGCAACTACTACGATAAGGATGATAATAATAGTTGTTCTTTAAGTGGGTTTAGTTGGAAACTACTATTTGGGAAGAGAAAAGAGCCCGTTAGTGAAGGTGCCAAGGAGAAAATTGAATAGCAGTGGGGATATTTGCAGATCTCACTTTCGACCCAGTCATGAATCCTGACACTGCTCAGTGACTCATCCCCAGTGATAGGATGTATCCCTTTCCCAGTAGTTTGATGGTTTCTCTCTCTCCCTCTTCCTCCCTCCCTTCTCCCCTCCCTGTCTCTAATCACAATTGTGATTATAAAAACGACATGGTAACCTTTCTTTACTTTGACATCAGCATTTCTTTACCTGCACCAGTGGGGAGACTCACCATCAGCAGCATCAGCCCAAGGCTGAGTTTTAGGAGGTGCAGCTCTTCTCTCCAGCTCTTGTACCATTCAGGGTCACCAAGTACTTAGGGTGTTGTTCTTTGGTCAGAACAACTTGGCCATGCGCACTGACAGGTGTACTGGTTATCAGCCTTTTGACTCTTGATCTCTGAGGCCTGTTGGGCCCACCCAGTCTCAACCCTGCTCACACCCTGCTTGGAAAGCTCCTTAGTTCTGCTGATAAGTGCCCACAGGTGCCAGTAGTCTTTGATCTGAAGTCACTCAGCTCACGAGTGCCATGGGTTGGCAAGTCTGACTCCTACAAATGCCCGGAGGCACCTCGCTCTTTGGCAAGCCTCCCCAATGATCGCACTCTGCTTTATCACTGTGACCTGGGGAGTCCACTACACCATTTCCAGCTTGTCTCCTGGTTCTACTGCCTCTGCTGCTGCCAGTTTTCTGCCAGTATTTCCACTGTTGTCACTATTACTGCTCTTTGGCTTCTGGTTCTATAAGCTTCCCTGAGGACCTAGGTAGGGACCCTGAGCCCTGAGGATATGATCTACTTCCATATTCTTTCTTGGTGGTAGTGAGGTCCACTCTCTGCATTGAAATTGACTCTCTTTTAAGCCTACCAGGATGGAAACACCGACCAATCCCCTTATATGATTCCATACACAGTATTTGTGTGGTCTCACCCACCAAGGATTCCATGCACCTTATTTGTAATATTAAAAAGCTGTCCTATCTACTTGGTGGGCCACAAGCTCCCTACTGCATAGGTTCACCCATTGTTTTGGTGGGGGTTACAAGACTGTGCACCACATGATCTAAATTGCGTTGTTGTTGCTGTTGTCTTGCAGGGGCTATGGCTTTGTAAAATTCACAGATGAACTGGAACAGAAGCGAGCCCTGACGGAGTGCCAGGGAGCAGTAGGACTGGGGTCTAAGCCGGTGCGACTTAGCGTGGCGATCCCTAAAGCGTGAGTCCTGGGCCATAAGGGAAAGTCGAGGGCCTCTGCACTGACCTGCCTGGACACTCCTCATCTGCTTGCTGGTCATTAGATTGTCCACTAGAGAATGCTGGATGGGACGTTGCCGGGGGACTTAGTTTAAGTTGTGAAAGTTGAATGCCTGCTATTTGCCCTGTTGTGTGCTTAAGTTGGAGATGACCTAAGAAGCGTGACCCCACCCTTTGGGAAGCTTATAACTTGAGAGAGGACTGTGATCAAGGGAATTGGGTGCATTGAGACATTGCTGGGAAAACATTTGGGGAATACACACCTAATGTTTCTGCTATTTGCCCAGTCGTGTGTCTGTTGGGAATTTGCCCATAAAATTAATAAGTTGAATGGGGATGGGGGGGGTTTAATGTTAATTTCATTATTATTTTGTGCTAGTGAAACCCATAAACCTTTTGAATGAATTTTGTTATGGAAAGGAGTAACCCACTACACCACCAAGGCTGAACTGCTAACCTCAAGTTTAGTAGTTTGAAACCACCAGGTACTCTGAGGAAGAAAAATGAGGCTTTCTACTCCTAAGCTGGTGCAACTTAGCGTGGTGATAAGTTACAGTCTCTGAAACCCACAGGGGTAGTCTATTCTGTAGGGTTGCTCTGAGCTAGATTAGACTTGATGACAGTGAGTTTAGAGAAAGGGCAATAGGTCATTATTACATTTGTCACTGGGCACATAGGCTTGTTCGATGACAACTCCAAGCAGGTTTCTCACTGAGAAGTAAGACAATATTTCTCTGCATAGAAGTGGTTCCTCCTGCAAAATTCTTTACGGAGAAGTAGTTCTGTGCAAAGCTGTGGTTCTCAGCGGGGCACTTTTGTCCCCCCAGAGGACATTTGGTAATTTCTGGAGACAATTCAGTTGTCAAGGCTGGCACCGAGTGAGTAGAGGTCAGTGATACTGAACAGATTCCCCCAACAAAGGATTATCTACTTCCTCGTTCTTAAATGGCAACAGCACAGAAACGGAAAACTCTAGGCTCAAAGTACAAGAAGAGCTGAACTCTCGGGGCAAAATGCCCACATGGATAAATTTTTTAAAACAGCAAAAGATTTGGCGGGTCTTGTGGTTTGGCTATATTTGATAATACCGTAGGCGGGATGCTCCACACACACACAACACCCACACACCCACCCCAAATTTATTTATTTGTTTGTTTATTTTTTAAATATGGAATGCTTCACGAATTTGCATGTAATCCTTGCATAGGGGCCATGCTAATTTTATCTGTATCGCTCCAATTTTAGTATATGTGCTGCCGAAGCAAGCACCAAAAATTAATTTTGTTGTAAGCTCTTATTTTATAAAAACATTAAGCCAAGTATTTTGAAAAAGACATTTCTCAGATTGTATCACTTAAAATAGATGATTGTAATTTCTGGGTTCCCTTCCAGGGTTCTCCCTGTATACCCATGCTTTTCATATATTTTCTGCGTATGATTCAGTGTATTTATTCACTTTTTAATTACAAAAGCGATGCTCATTTTCACTCCTCCACATCATCCTCATTTTTATTTTCCAACAGCAGCAGAATGTTTTTTTGAGTGTGTCCTGTCTAGCTATTCCTCTGAAGTCGGCCATTCTTGTAGTTTCTGATTTGTTACTGCTTAATCAGCAAACAGTATGGAGTCCCCACAGCAATGCAGTCCTTGGTCATCTGTGGAGATGCAGCTGTGACAAGAGAAACATGTTCCCTCTGCAAGGAGTTTATATTTGTTCTATTTATTTCTGCATTGAATGCTGTCAGGATTTGGTGCCTGTGCCCTTAAACCCTTGGAGGAAGAGTTAGCGCTTAAGAGCCACTTGTAGAGGAACAGCACAGAAATGTGCAAAGTCGCTTGAAGGAAACAAAACCAGACTCAGTCACCTGAACACGTCATTACAGAGGGAGGCAAATAGGTGCGATGTCAACCCAGAGCCAAGCAGAGGAGGCAATGGATCTCCTGTCAGGAGAGGAATGCATTGGAGTAGACTGTCTGAGGCCATCAAATGTTCCTCTGACCACCCTCTTGAGTCCCGCCCACCAGGGAGACAGTTAACTTGCTAGGAGCCTCCCCTTAGGGAGCACTCACTCAGACTCTGACCATAGGTAGCTCTGTGACAAGGACTTCTTCACTAGCTCAGTTCCCATGTGATTTGTTTTTCTATCCAAACCAGTCACGAGGCTTCTTCCACACAAGGTAACAGTTACTCTCCTTTGGAATGAGCAAGCTGGCATCACTGTGGTTTGCCTCTGTCTCCTGTCACTGTTGGGTGTATATCCCTAAGAGACTGCCTTGACCCTTCACAGTACAACTCTGGAAAGAGTGCGCTGGTCTGAGCGTGAGTTTGGTTCTTTTGAGTCCTGTCAGCCAGGCTTTCTTGTCATGTCCCAGGCCTGTTTCATAAGCCTGTTCCCATGCTTTATGCTGTTGAAAGTAATGGATCCTTTGCAGACTTGACATTTTGCCTTTAGTTAGCAGCCGGTAGGACAGTCATGTACTCAGGAGAAGAAAGCTTCCCAGTGGGATGAAAGAAGAGACTGACAAGAAATCTTGAGTGTGTTATGACAGGTGCTATACATAAAGTGTAGGGGAGAGATGGGCTTTCCACTCCGGTGAAGATTTACATTCTCGGGCACTCACAGTGGACACTTCTACCTGTCCTATAGGGTCACTGAACGGTGCCTTTTGAGTACAGTGATGACAGGAAGGTCCGCCTTGCAGGGTGAATCGATATCTTGTAGTTTGAAATCATCCTAAATCCAGAGAATCCAGGCTGGGTTTCCCTAAGTCTTTAGTTCTAGATTAAAAATAGTTCCCAGAGTCTCTCCACAAGAGGGAAAACCAGTCCTGACAAGATTGGATAAGACAGAAATCCCAACCATAAGAAGCTTCTCTCTCTTACGCATAGAGCCATGCTGCCTGTGTTTGATTGTCTTATTAACTGTGTGACTTTAGACAGGTTTATTTACCTTCTCTGTATATAGGAATAGTGGTATATACTTAACACATAGTGTCGTTTTGAGTATTAAATGAAGGGCTCTACTTAAAACACTCCACTGGTCACATAGTAAGTGCCATGTGAATGTTCACTTGCTTAATTTTTGTTTCTTCCTAAAAGGAGCCGTGTGAAACCAGTGGAATACAGCCAGATGTACAGTTACAGCTACAACCAGTACTACCAGCAGTACCAGAACTACTATGCCCAGTGGGGCTATGACCAGAACACGGGCAGCTACAGCTACAGTTATCCCCAATATGGCTATACGCAGAGCACCATGCAGGTACCAAGATTTAGAAGTCTGGCCCTTTTGGGTTATGCTGCCCTCTGGGGATGTGGGTCATTCTCTAGGGCTTGATAAGGAGGGGGAGACTTGGGCTTCCCAAAACCAAGTTCCTTTTGTTAAAAATGAGCCATCTTGATCTCGGGTCAGGATATCCCCCATGCTCCTCACCCTCATCTCTGGTCTCTTGACAGACATATGAAGAAGTTGGAGACGATGCACTGGAAGGTAAGATCACTCCATTCATCCTCTGTTACTCATCATTCAGTGACTGCTCTATGGCCTTATGCTAGATGCTGAATTCCGCCCTGCCCTAGAGGACCTCGCGTTCTAATGGAGAGGGCCAAATGCATTGGTTACTGTAAGATGTGACTGTGGCCACAAGGGTGTATGTACAGATTGGGAGAGGAGAGCAGCTCCTATTGAGAAAAAGGAAGAAGCCCACCGCTGCCTAGACATGAGGCGTTATCCCCTGGGATGAGAGTTTGAACATACAGAAAAATACCAAAAACAACAACAAAACATAAATAAATAAGAAGAAAGAAAAATACCAAGATCCTGACATTCACCTCTAGTACTACCACCTACTATACAGTAGTAACCATCATTAATTTTGAAATTTAAAGTATTTATTGTATTTATTGTAATTTTTAATGAGTTTATCAGAAGAAGGACCCCTGGTAGCACAGTGAGTTACTCATTGGGATGTTAATCCTTGGGTCAGAAGTTCAAACCCACCAGCCACTCCTCAGGAGAAAGATGAGACCTCTGCTCCCGGGAAGATGTGCAGCTGCAGAAACACACAGGGACAGTTCCACTCTGCCCTCCAGGGTCACGTCCGAGTCAGGATCCTCTTGGTGACAGTGAGCTGGTCTTTGGTTCTTAGCAGAAGTAAAAGATAGTAAAGTGAAAATGAAAGAATTACTACCTGCTGACAAAGACCTTTTCACAGGAGACATTAATAGCATTTAAAAGATTCTCCAAGATTTGAAAAAAAGGAATTAAAAAAAATATATATATAACATCAAGTTTCTGAATATATGTTCTTAGGAAACAAAATTTAAAAGCTACTGAAAAAAAAAAGCTACCTGATAAAATCAACATGATTGAGTATTGAAGTAACTGAAGCAAAACTTTTATTTTAAGATATAAGCCTTATCCTTCATGAGAAAGTAATAGACTTGTCAAAAAATTCTATATTAAAATTTTTTATTTTCTGAACTTTACATCATTCGTTTTTAACAGTTTCATTGGCTTATAATTCACATATCATACAATTGAATAGTTCAGTAAGATCCAGAAGAGTTGTATAATCACTATCACAATCAATTTTAGAACATTTTCTACTTTCTTGTACTCCTGGTATGAGTTCCCCGTTTCCCCCCAGCCTCCTTGTCATGCCCCCAAGAAACCATTAATCCAGGTGCTGACTCCGTAGAGTCACTCCTCCGAGATTTCATACCTGTGCCATTGATACGGTGTGCAAGTTCAGATCCAGTCCACCTTTGGTAAGAGACCAAAGGTGATTATATTCTGGAGAGGAACAGAGTGATTTTCTTCCTTCTTGTACTCATTGTTGTTAGCTTCCCTTTTCCCCCCAACTCCCTTGAACTTTTATCATTTTTTACAAAACAAAAAATGTATCAAAAACAGCAGAGTTTACAGGATTGCTGCACCAGTTTTCATATTAGCCAATGATTATGAAACTGATGTCCATGTAAATACTTTAAACAGAGGCTGATTTCCTTCCTGATCTTATGTTATTGGATGATCTGTTATGGAGCTACTCAAGACTAGACTTTGTAAGCACTGGCCTTCTTTTTATTTTTAAGTTTTCTTGAAAAGAAGGAACTTATCTTCAGGACAGGAACAAACTTAGAGTCTGAGTCCCAGCACTATGAAGCACCTGCGCAGATGAATCTAGTAGTGCCCTGAGGAGTTCTGCCTCTCGAGGGGGACTCTTCGCCCAGCAAGCCCAAGTGGCCTGTTTAGGGTACAAAATGAGGCCCAGGCCTTCTGCACTTGACTTTTTCCCGTTCAGAAAGTTTGCCACTTCTCTGGAGGCAGTTAGACAAATTGTAATAGTTTCTGCATGTAACTCTGCAGAATTTTCCAGTCTTTTAATTTTTTTATCCATTATTTTAACTTTTTAACAATTTCAATAGCACTTCATCCATATGCCAGACAATTCAATAATTGCATATCAAGAAAAGTTTTAAAATTATGACCACATTGAATTCTAGAGCATAGTCTTCTTCCTTGTACTTATTATTATTCATGTAATTATTTTTTCTAATTGTGACAAAAATATATACAAAAATATTCAATTCCACAACTTTTTAAAAAAATCATTTTATTGGGGGCTTGTACAACTCTTATCACAATCCATACATACATCCATTGTGTCAAGGACATTTGTAAATTTGTTGCCATCATCATTCTCAAACCATTTTATTTCTACTTGAGCCCTTGGTTTCAGCTCATTTTACATGTAGAATTTAGTGCCACTGATTATATTTTTCATGTTTTACAACCATTATTAGTATCTTTTTCCAAATTATTCTACTACCATTAACATATACTCAATGCTCCTTAAGCAACAACTCTGTCCTTCACCCATGGTAACCATTGGTCAAGTGTTTTGGGTTTTTTTTAGTTTTTTTGATACAATATTCACCCATCATACATTTCCATGGTTAAATCATCCAATCTCTCTTATCCTTTAGCAGTCTAGCATATTTTGAGTGATAACCATGTTCCAACATGATGAGGAGTTGTGATTGTTGTCCTGGGATGCTGTCCAGTCTGCTCTGACGCATAACCCCTGTGTACAACAGAATGGCTCACTGCCCAGTCCCTCACGATCCTCACAATCAGTTGTTCTTGTTTTAGCCCATCGTTACAGCCACTGTGCCAGTCCCATCTCAGTGAGGGTTGTCTTTTTCCCTGAACCTCTACTTGACAAAGAACAAAGTCTGTCAGCCACTAGTCCCTCCCGATGACATGTCCAAAGTGTATGAGACAAAGTCTGGCCACCTTTCTCTTTTAGGAGCGATCTACCTGGCTGTACTTCTAAGACAGCGCTGTTTCTTCTTGCAGTCCATGGTGCACACATTTAATGTTCTTCACCAACACCTTTATTCTTCAGTCTTCCTCAGTCTGCCTCCTACCCGTTGAGGCGATTAAAAGACCATGGCTGGTGTTAAGAGGCAGCTTCGTCTTCAGAGTGACATCTCTTGAGCGTTAACACTTTAACGAGGTCTTGTGCAGCACATTTACCCAATGCATGGTGCTCTTGGATTTCCTGATTGCTGCTTCCAAGTAGAATGAAATCCTTGATAACCTTGGCCTTCGTTTTGTGTGATGTTGTCTATTGGTCCAGTTGTAAGGACTGGTTTTCCTCATGGTGAGGTGTGAGCCATATTGAATATGCTTTCTTCACTGAGCTGTCTTGACATCCTAGTCAAAAATTAATTTACTTTTGTTAAAGTCCTCTAAATATATTGCTTTTGACTCAGCAGTTATTTATCTAGGAATTTATTAATTAAAAAGCAATTAGGAACAAACTGGAAACACATTTACTACAAATGTCAAGAAATTATTTCTGGTCAGTCCCTTTCTGTTCATCTTTATAGGCTTAGAGTTGGCAGTGCTGCCATCTTTATCGCCATAGCTTTCCAGTAGATTTAGAAATGAGGAAGTTTGAGTCTTCAACTTTATTCTTTTTCAAGGTTGTTTAGACAATTCTACATCCTTTGTATTTCTATATAAATTTTAGGATCAACTTATTAATTTCTGCTCCCCTCCATGCAGCTGCGATTTTTTTTTTTTTTGAGATTCACTATGCTTTAATGGGGCTCCTGGTGATGTAGTGACTCATACAAGGTCAGTAGTTTGAACCCACCAGCCACTGCAAGTGAGAAAGATGAGGCTGTTTGCACCTGTAAAGATTTAGTCTCAGAACCTCAAAGGGCCAATTCTACTCTGTCCTATAGGGTTCATATGAGTTGGAATTTTTTTGATGGCTGTATGTTTAATGTGCTTTAATTCATAGTTTGTTCATGTGTATTCATTTTAAACCAACACAAGAATTAAGGGGAAACTACAAAATCATGGCAATTAAAGATTTAATTGTGAAATACAGAGCACATACAGAAAAGTTCACAAACGTACAGTTCAGTGTGCAACTAAAAAGCATTAAGCTGTAAAACTTTCGGGTCAAAAAATAGAACATCAACAAACCCCAAAAACCATCATCCCTTTTGCCAGTCATCAGCCATCACTCGCTTTTTCTCTGCTAAGGCTGATATTTGTAAGTGTCATTTCCTTCCTTCTATTGTTTTATTGATAGACAAGCACCTCTAAACCATGTAGTGTAGATTTAGTAAATTTTGTTTTGTTGTTAATCACCACTAAATATGCTCAAGTTTCTCACTGTACCCATCTAGTGACAGGAGTTACATTCTGAGGTTGTACCATTCCCTCCCTCCGTGACATGAACATACTGCCCCCTAGGTTACTCTCAGGTTTTCGGCATGCTGTTGCCAGTTTATACAGCATAGTTTGACCTGTTTCCCAGCTTGACTTACAGGAGTCCCACTGCAGGCTTCCTGTCTTCTCACAGCCAACACTCCTTGTTTGTGAAATTTATCTAGGTTTAGTTTCTGTGTTATATATTTGTACCTTGAAGGAGCCCCGGTGGCATAGTGGGTCCCACTTTGGGCTGTTAACAGGGCAGGAGGTAGAAACCCCAGCCATGCTGCAGGAGACAGACGAGGCTCAGCTCCCGGGAAGGTGTAGTCCAGCAACCCACAAGGACATCCTGACTTTGTCAGAATCTACTCAGTGACTGAGTTTGGTTAGAATTGCATCAAAGATGGTCATTTTAAGAATTTTTATATTTCTGTACTTTTGTGGTAATTTCTAAGGAACAACTACATTTACAACCAAAGATATAGACTATGATGACTTTACAGCTCTTAAGATCATTGAACTATTGAATTGGATGATTTGTGAGTTACATGCCAATAGAACTTTAAACTTTTGTTGAAAATATAAATTATTAAATCCAGGGCTCATGCTCTCAGCATAGTTCTTTTCCTTCGTTTTTGGTATAGTGCTGTGACTCAGTAACTGTAACCAGACTTCCCAAATTTCAAATAAGGAATCCACTAGAAAACCCCCGGCAGGCAGTGTAACTTGTAGTACATGTTGCTCCACAGCCACATTTTGAGTACTGGCTCTGCATTAGATCCCCTTTCTCCTATCCTTTTGTCACCCTCGAGCAGCTAGTTGCCTAGTGGGTTAGAGTGGACTGACTGCAGTGTGAACCAGCTGTGGAGGGGGGCAGAAATTTCTATTCCCCTAAGGACTTATAGCCTCAGAAACCCAGAGTTCTACTGTCCTACTGGCTGGCTGTGCATAGGCATTGACTGTGGGGTTTTGTTCGTTCCCATCCTTACAGGAATTCTGTAAGGCAGTGTTGTCCTGATGAGGAAACTTGAGCCAGGATAGCAGCTTGCCAAGGGACGTTAAGGCCGTAGTAACTTCCAGTAGATCCCAAATCTGATGTCTGCCCCTAGCCTTAACCTGTCTGGTGTCCTGAACCTGTCCCTGCTTCCTTCTAGACCCCACGCCACAACTGGACGTGACAGAGGCCAACAAGGAGTTCATGGAGCAGAGTGAGGAACTATATGATGCACTAATGGACTGTCACTGGCAGCCCCTGGACACAGTGTCCTCTGAGATCCCTGCCATGATGTAGCCAGAACCAGGAAGAATGAGCTGCGTGCAAGAAACCACTTTTTTAGAAAACTGCAAATACTTTTTTGGAATGAATTTTAAGTTTTTAATAATCTGAGAATGACCACTTGTGCAATGTTGTTTCATATCTAATACCTGGTTTGCAAACCAAGCTGTTTCTACCTCTTCTGCAAATGGCTTTCAAACATTTTTTATAGTAAACACAGAATACTCATGAACACTAAAGCTCTGAAATTTCCCTCTACCTAGAGGGGAATTGGAAGATTTATCAATCTTCTGAAAAAAGTTGTACACTGGCTTTTATTCCTGAGATCTTTTCAGGGAGCTGGGCACTTATCCTGGGGTTACAATAACGATCAAAGAGACACCCACAACACTAGCTGAAGCTGTGGTCTAAAGCCCTTGGGAAGATGGCAGTAATTTTCTGAAAGGGGGTGTAGGCAAAATTAGGAAATTATGTTCTCTAAAAGAATCTAAGGATTAAATGCCATTTTGAGAAGGTGTAGTCTAAGCCATGGCATATGTATATAATGGCTAAAAATGTCTAAAAAACTTTTAAGGATTGAACACCATTTTGACCTGGAATATTTAGATGGGGACCAAGAAATTAAAACAATGCATCACATCACTCCCACAAGTCTTTTTATTTATTAAGCCGGGTACATTTAAATTTTTTCTGCATATAAAATGTCTTGCTTGAAGTTCTTCCCATAGTGCTTCAATGCTGGAAAAAAGTGAGCCAGTGTGTCAGTACTACTAATTAACCCCCACTGGAACAATCTTCTCAAGCAGCTGGTCTCAGTCCCATATCCGCATTTATCATCCGGAGATGTCCACTCAGATTAGGTTTCATCCTTGACCAGGCTCAGTCTGCATTTATAGAAAGGGAGCTAACTACATGGTTTCTACCCAACCTAGCTGACACTTGTGGGTAGAAGGCATTAGTCTGCAGCACTTCTAGCATTCAGGTAGCTGCTTTGCCCACAAAGTGGTTAACTATTCATAAGATTATCTTTAATGTAAGCAAATTGAAATGTTACAGTCCAAATCACAATGAAGACATTTACAGTTGGTTTCATAAGCAGCTAACCCCCAAAGGAGGATACTTTGAAATACTCCACAAGACTTGTCACTATTTGGTGTAGTGCTTAGAGACAGAATTACTACCTGAAGCTCTAATCCATTCTTTTGTGCTTCATCAGGCTGTTTTGCTACTCAGATCTGAAAAACAAGCAAGCATGTCCATTAATCAAGAAAGCTAGACATGAGACTCCTCCCACCAGTACATAAGTCTGGGCTACTGCTGCCTAGGTTTGTCCTCATTTATGCAGCCATAGCAAATTTAACCTAGTGTGCCCCTGTTTGAAACTAGCCCAAGGGCTCCAAGAGCACTGAGGGCCAGCTTCAGTGTTTCTTTTCCTCCTTTTACGACCACCCAGACCAGTATTATGATCCGATGGGAAAGGGAACTGGAGGGTAAAAACCAGTTGGAGTCTGACCTCACCTACCTTTAAACAGCACAGCTACATCTTCAAATTTCTTTAACAGCCAGGAAAAGCAAGGAAATCCTGAAGGAGAGTGGGGGGAAAAGTACAAAATCCAAATCAATCCAATACACCCACCTACATGGAAGCTGAGGGAAAACTGGATTTCTTGTCCAGATCCCGGAGAATTTTATAGGAAAGGCGAGTGGCAGCTGCAGATACTTTGCTGGCCTGAGCTGTCAAAGTCTCTCCACGTTGCTCTCGCATGCAGTTGGAGATCAGATGGCCACATGAGCCACAGACCTTGGGAACATGCGCTCCCCACCAAGTAGTTCCCACATCAGTGTTAAGAAACCTACCAGGTCCCAGGGCACATGGCTCCACTCCGTCTCACTTTTCCTCCTCCGAGATCACCAATTTCAGGTATCCTGGGATCTTCAGCACAGCTGTGACAAGAACAGAACACAACAGTCCTGGATGACCTGACCGCTCCTCAGTGACTAAGGTTGGAGGCCAGGCACAATACGTTTCCGCTTTCAACACAAGGCGGCCTTTACTGTGTGCTGCTTCTTCAGACCATGACTTTCCCCAGCCCTCACTGTGCTCACAGTACACGCAAGCCCATGCCCGTCTTAACAGGCCTCACTCAGACTAGAATGGCTGACACGATAAGGCAATGTCTTTTCCCGAAATGTTGCAGATCGGTTACAGCAAACCGAACGGCGACCGTCAAGGAAAAACTCACTGTGGGCTCTTTTTTGACTACAGCAGCTACGTGGAAGCAACTGCAGCTTCGATAAGGGCCCCGGGGCGGTTTATGGCCGTGATAGCCCCACCCACCAAACGGCCATTTCGCCGTCTTCCAATGGCGACCCGACCCAAGTCGGGCTCCATCTTCCCGGCGGCTTCTAAGTTAGCCGGCAAGGAGGCTTAACCCACTGCGCCATCTTCGGAGGCCCGAAGCCTGTGGATTGTCTGAGACCACCAAAATGCGCTGGAAACAAGTGTTTATGTGTCAGGGGCTGTGTCAAACGGCTTGCCTGCTGTGTCCTTTACCGACATCAGTCAGGACATCTAAACCAAACTGCACAAAGTTCTAAAAACGCCATGAATCCGCTGCCATTTAAAAGGCCTAGGGCATTCCAGCAGTCGGAAAAGCAGGTCAAGGCCACTGGCCTTAAGTGGCCCCCCCCTTAATTCCAGTTGAATCACCCCACCCCACGCAGGGCCCTTGGCATTACTCACCGATCCAACGGGCGCGCTGGGGCGCCCGGGCCGCGGCGGGCTCCGGACCCGAAAGCTATGCCTGCGGCCGGCGGCTCTCCCACCAAGCCCCCGGGCCCGCCCCTGGGTCGCACTCATCGTCCCGCACCCTTGAAAAGCACCCTGGGCGCGCGCAAACGGGCGGCTGCGTGCCACGAGCCCGGACAGCAGGACGCGAGCGTGGAGGCGCGTTAAAGCAGAAGACGCGTACTCCAACGCGCCGACGGGCAGAAAGGGCGGGGGCAGGCCGACCAGGGCTTATATAGGCCCTCCGCTCGACGCCGAGCCTGACGGCAGGTCGAGAGCGCCGCGCGGCGCTCTGGGAAGTGTAGTTCACAGTCCATCCCGGCGCAGGGGATACGTCACCGTCCGCCGACACAGGAGCTGGGGAAAGACTTACTACAGTCGGACACCCGAAACTAAACTCACTGCCGTGGAGTCGATGCCGACTCGTAGCGACCCTGTCTTACTCCAAGAGACGCCGAAGAGTTTGCCCTGCCCTCTGAGCTGCTGCGCCGTGTGCTGGCTCAGGCCTCTGTCCGCCCTGCGAGTCCGCTCCGGCCGAAGGCTGGCCAAGCCCGGGAGGGAGGTTTGGGCCAGGGAGGCTCCGGACGAGACCGCCACTGGGGGGCGTCCGAGCGCCGCCCAGTCGGACGCGCGCGGAGGGCTTGGCCGTCCTCTGATTGAGGGCTTCCTAGGAAGCGGTCAAACCATGGAGTCGGTGCTGCCTCCTAGAGACCTCTGTGGTTGCCAAGAGCCGAAGCCCAGGCTTTGTCCCCCGAGCTGCCGGTGGTTTCGAGATGGGGTAGAACCGCCCCGGTGAGTTCCTGAGACTGACTCCTTACGGGAGAGAAAACGCTGCCTCTCTCTCTCTCTCACAGCGGTTGGAGGACATTGGAAGCTCGGACCTTGCGGTTGGCAGGCCGATGCAGAACCCTCTGGTCTTTTCCACTGCTGTTTAATACCGGTCCTGAGCGTGCACGATGGGGACTGTGCTGCAGTACCGCGTCGAGCTTTCGAAGCGAGCTTGTGAACAGGTAGTACCGGTAGCCTATTAACCACCTGCCACAGAGAGGAAACCGAGGAATGGGTCAGATTGCTAAGAGGTGGACGTGAGGACTGGCAGTGAGTCTCCCCCAAGAGAGCACGTTCTTCTCACTGCGCTTCCGCGGTGCAGCCAGTTATTTAATCTGGCTCTTCTAGCCGTAGCCTGCAGATGGCCAACATTTTCCTGATGGGTCTTCATAGGAAGGTGGGCACTATTTTCCCAGTAGTTTTATTGAGGTAAAATTCACATATTATACGCTTTCATAGTTCTCCCCTCTCGTTGCCATCGAGTCGATGCTGACTCACAGCCACCCTGTAGGACAGGCCAGAGCCGCCC